GCTATTTAAACACTGGGTTAATCATGTGTGTTTAGATAGGAGGATATAAATGCCGCTCAGCTGATGTTTGTTTACGTATGCATACACAACCGAAAGGGAATGCAACCAAATGGCCAAAAATTATGTATCAAAAACCCTAATCATTATAAAATTAAACAGATAGTCATAAAAGCATACCCATCTCTGCATTTTCTGTAATTTACCTTGTCAAATTTTACTCCATAGAAAAAAGGTTCCCATCTCTGTACTTTTGTATGCACTATGAATTCATAAATATATATATTGACAATGAGATGTTGTCAAATGAATAAATTTGAAAATAAAAAATGGTTAACTTATGATTTACCTTCTTAATTCTACCATGAACCACAATTGGATGTAAACAAACTATACCCCCAGCCTTGAGTTATTATTATTCAAACTGTTGACCCTTTATGGGGGAGGTTCCGAAGCAGTTGGTCAATATTGTGTGGGCCACCATAACAGCCGATGGTCGCTCTCCGCTTGTATTAATCGACCGTGGCATCAGAATAAATGCCGAATATTATTGCGAAAATATTCTGGAAGTTGTATTAAAGCCATGGGCACGCAAACATTTTGGCCGCAGACCTTGGACATTTCAACAGGACTCAGCACGCGCCACCCAAGAATGGTTACAAAATTAGTTCCTCGCTTCATTTCCAGCGCACAATGGCCACTAAAATCTCCGGATACCAATCCGTTGGACTATTGTGTCTGGAGTATTTTGAAAAGCAAGGTTGGCACAAAAAAAAAAAAACCAAAGGGTCGATAACCTCAAGCAAGCGCTTCGCCGGGAATGGGCCAAAATAGCGCAGAGCAACATTCGGGCAGCGTGTGACGGTTTCATTCGCCGTTTAAACAAATCTAAACTTATTCTAAAATTTGATGTTATTTCCGACATTTTTTGCTTTCATTCTAAAATAAAAATTTAAAAATGATGGCGTTTAACTTTGTTGTCGTTTTTTAATCCCAACCTGTATATCTTCTTTACAACAGATCTTGTCATGATATGCAACAATTTTTACAAATTTCTATAATTTTTCATTCAAAAATTGTCATCTCCAAAATTGGTTTGACAGTTCATTGTGCCAGCAGCTGTGTCGATGCGACTACCTGTATTCTTCTACCCTGTTTATAGGCTAAAATAAGTTAATTCAAACATTAGTTTCCATGCCAGGAGGGAACTAGTTCACCAGTTCAACCAATGAATATTCATCTAAAGGAAGCTTTACACTGACGTGAAAATAGTGTGAATTATTTGAAGCATATTCAAAGGAATGGACGGGTTTTGTGTATAATGTTCTAAGATATTTGAACTATTTGCTAAGATTTATCAACAAAACTCAGTACGATTCTAGTCTCAACAATTTTTGATTTTGACAAATCAGCTGATTTTCAGTTAACTCGAATAGAAGATTGTGTGTCTATTTTTTTAAAATTATATTTCAATTTGGGTGAAGTCATGGCTAGGCATATTTTGTGACATAAATTACAGAGCCGCACTAAAATCCTGCCCTCATTTTCCATTATAATTTGACATGAATATGCCGAGCAACAATTACTCGAAGAGTCAACACAAAGGGTCGCATTTGTGGAACACCGTTTAAAATTAATTCAATCTCAATCAGCACTGCTGTTTGTCTAATATTTGCAGACATAGGAACACAATTCAAATTATAATTCTTAAGTTGGAGAGATCATGGATAGAACAATGGTAGAAGAATATAGGTAGACGCGTCGACACAGCTGCTTGGACAATGAACTGTCAAACCAATTTTGGAACTGAAAATGTTGAATGAAAAATTATTTAAATTTGTAAAAATTGTTGAAAAACGCGAATTATAATAGCCTCCGACGTAGTATAAGAAAGCATATAAAAATCTACTTATATTTTTAAAAACAATTAATTTTTTTTTTTGACATCTCAATGCTCCCAAGTGTTGATGCATCTACCTGTATTCTTCTGCCATGGATAGAACTTAACAAAGCAAACTAAATATTGACTGGATATTTTTAGACCAGATCAGATTTCTTTAAATATACTCAATTGAAAATTAAGATTTTTTACAACATCATTTCTTACAACCACCCGATTCAATATAAAACAGAAACGAGATTACACAAACACATATAAACTAGATATAACTTTAAAAACTAGTTGATGTTCACTGACAAAGAATGTTTGGAATGTACATTAAAATGGGTTAACAAAAAAACTTTTTCAAAAACTTGGAGAGAAAAAGACTATTATAAGATATTTCAAAAATCAATTATAAACACACTTATGTTTATAATAACCGTGTTTTTTATTTATTTATTTTTTTTTTTTTTTTTGCACACCCCATACAATTGACCTTTGTAACACAAAACCAAAAAAAATGTTTATAGAACAACTTTATGACATTCATGTATAGAGAAAAATTCATATTGATACAAATTTACAACTACAGGCCTTATACATATGTATGCATGTGTGGTGGCACCTCGACCAATAATGGCAACCGCCCAGTTATTGCGAGAACACACACCGACCAGTATCGAACATAACATAAATAAATTTCCTAACGACAGCAATATTGTCATAAAAACACGTGACTTTTAATTGATAGCCAAACGAAATTGATATTGAAAATGGGGAATGCTACAAATATCTTGTTATGAGGGGGGGATATAACAAAATCATTTGATAACAAGAAGAAGATGGCATATATTTTGCTACAAATATAATTGGTGGATTCGGAGAGAAAATGTTTTAAAAAGGACATTCCTCTATTCGGAGAACAAATCGAAACATGAATTTTGACAGTTCGAGGCAAATCACCTGTTTTTTTTTTTATTTTTTTTTTTTTTTGAATGAAACTTGAATTAACTCATTTTGACAGATTGCAGGTTGATCGAATGTTCATCTCATGACATGTCCTTATAAACCAGGAAATGTCAAACACGCTCTTGTTTTTGATTTTTAGTAAAATGAAAACCCATAGTACAATTATAGTTTCATTTCAAATCAGCATACCCAGCTCTGCATTTTTCTGTAATTTAAACTGCCAAATTAAGCTGCATGGAAAAAAAGTTCCCATCTCGGATTTGTGTAGGTACAGTTGATTTATGATGCAAATTTCGAAACAATATTTGTTTGGCCCAAGGACGAACCTTATTGAAATTGGTGAGAATCGGTTCAAATTTACATATAGCTCCCACATATATCTTCAACCGATTTCGGGTTAATTGTGCACCAAATGCCCAATATCAGTCAAAATGACCCGAATTTTTGCACATCCAACCGAATTCAGCCCTGAAGCAAGTACATCAAATCTGTTCAGATAGATTTCATCCGATTTGGTGTTTAAGTCCCTCACATTCGTAATATGCACTACATAACAATAATATTTGGTACCAAATATCAGATCCAGCTCGAAAATACGTATGCCAAATTTTATCGAGATCGGTTCAGATTTGGATATAGCTCCCATATACATCTTCAACCGATTTCGGGTAAATCATGCACCAAATGACCAATATATGCCCAAATGACCTAAATTTTGGCACATCCGCCCGAATTCAATCCAGAAGCAAGTACATCAAATTGGGCAAAAATCGGTTTAGATATAGCTACAGCTCCCATATATATATGTTTCATCCGATTTGGTGTTGAAGTCCCTCACATTCGTAATATACATTCGAAAACAATGATATTTGGTACCAGATATCTTATAGAGCTCGGAAATATCTCTGCCAAATTTTATCGAGATCGGCTAAGGTTTGAAATAGCTTCCATATATATCATTAATCTGATTTCAGGGTTATTGTGCAAATAATGGCTAATCTAATTAATTCTACCAAGTATTCAATGATGTTCCCAAGCTTTGATGCATCTACATGTATTCTTCTACCATGAATTGGAGCAGTGTGCTAAATGCATACAAGGAACTAGTTCCTTTTAGGAAAAAGGGGCGTGAACAAATGATTTTACGGAATGGATATTACATATGTGCTGTCACATTTATTTCCCATGCGTATTTACGTTTGTGTGTCAAAATTGCCATTTTACCTATGTCTCATTTAATTTTTGCTATATCACACATGTTCATGTTTTCTATTTCCTTTGATTACTTTGTGGTTATATTGTATTTAAAAAAATATATATAATTATATACTTTATGGAGGAAATTTTACTGCAAATTTAAGTCTCGCAGTGATCGAAAAAGTACGTATGTATTTCACAACTGAAATGTAGTCCATAATTATATAACATTTGTAAAAAACATTTCGTGTGAAAGAACTTTACTCGGCAAGAGTTTACGAAATGTTGTCTTTTTATTTTTCCCTCTTTTCTCTCCCAAGAGAACTTAATGGATAAATCTTGTAGAAAAGGTAAACAAAAATATATAAAATGTTTCGATGTTCGTTAAAGTTTAATATTCCTTTCTTCAGTAGCGTACAATGTCCGTCTGAACATGACATGACATTAATAATACCAAGAATAATGTTGCCATATCTCATATTTCATGTTACGCATTGCAGTGTTGACATTAGAAACAATGTGATAAAAATATGAATTACTTGTAGATAGTAACTTACTTTATAATAAATAATAAAATAGTTTAAAATAAAAAAATATATATGGAAAAAGGGTAGAAAGAGAAAATAACTTAAAGAAAATAGAAAATAATATTAAATGAAAAGAAAGAGAGAGTAACCTAAAGGAAAATTTTGTAATAGGCTTTGGTTACAAAAAAAATATATAAATTTATTTTAAATTTAGAACTAAAAATTCCAAAGTAAATAAAAAAAAACAAAAATGAAATTAAATACATTTTAAATATATATTGTAATTATATAGACAAAGTAGTTCTTTTTTTGATTTGTATTCTTGGTAGAGGATCAAATAAAGTGAGAGATATATTTAGAGAGAGAGATAGAGGTTGAACCAAAAATAGAAACGTAAACGTAAATAAATAAAATTGACATTAACTTACCAGGTGATTGAGCATAAATCGCTAAAAATATTGAGAGGAATGAAAATAGGCCTGCCAAAAATTTTGCCTCCATCTTTGGTATTGATCCGTGGTTTGTACTTTAAAGCTTATCTTTAATGGATTAAATTTATCTAAATGACAATTTGCGTTTGCTTTGTTACCGATGTTCGGGGCGGGGGGCGTGTTGCAGTTGTTGTATTGGTTATTTTGTTGTTATTGTTGCTGTTGTAACAATGGATGACCTTTTCTGTAACACGTGTGTGGTAGAGAGGTTGATAAATAGCTAGATAGATAGGTAGTAGTAGTAGTGGTAGTAGATAGTAGAGTATGACGTTTTAAATCCTTATTTGTTGTTATTGATTTGTTGACAATTTTGTTGTTGTTGTTGTTGTTGCAATGATGATTATCTTTTGTTTTACTTATTTAACAGAATTTGCTTTATACAACTTTATTTTATTATTTTTTTTTTGGTTTTGGTTTTGCTATTTCATTAATTTTATTTATATATTTTTTTAAATTAATTAATTATTTTTTTTGTTTTATTTTATTTTTCTTAGAATGATTTATATGATTTTGTTGTTGTTGCTATTTTTGATGGTTGTTTGTTTTGTTGCTATATCTGGTTTTAATTTCAGAGGTCGTCGTCTTGCAATCTTTTTTGTTCTGTCTTCGTGCCGTTTTCTTCTTCTCTCCGTGGCTATGCGTTAATGTTGTCGTCATCAATTAACGAGAGCTGCAATAAAAACACGAACAAAAAAATAATATTTCTAATTAATTGTGATATCAATGATATATTAAAATCTATTTAATAATATACATACAGTCTGTCATGAAAGTATTTAGAAGAGTCGAAAAATATTTTTCATTCTGAGAGTATTGATTAATGAGATCGAAACAGAATCAATGCGTTTCCAATCGATTTAAGTCGCTTTTTTGACTTGCCTAAGTTATCGGCTGGCTTCTCCGTAGAGGAACAAAGGAGTTTTAGGTTGACTTAGTTCGATTTTGGCCCTGCGCTCCTTTGTTCTTTTCCCAAGAAGCCAGCCAATGACTTAAGCCAGTCAAAACGGTGCTTTTTGTATTCTCACATTTACAAAGAAAACTTTACTCTCACAAATGGAAACAAAAGATTTTTTTTCAAAACACTTCCCTGTCATACTGTATGTATATAAAAAGTGCATACATGTTTCTTTGTGTGTGGGTATAAAAAATATACAAAATAATATTAATAAGCCATATCTCTTTATGTGAACAAAATATGTCCACACAGCATTATAGGCAAAACAAATGACACTAGAAATATTGCATTTTTTTCTGATAACACACTCAATGTCGAACAGACAAAAAACGAGAGAGAGAGAGAGAGAGAGAGCGCACGAAGGAAGTGAGCGGTCTTGAGTGACCAACAAACAATAGATTATTTTACTCATATTCAATTTTCTTTCCAAAAAATGAAACCAAAATATTCTAGAAATGAATTGACGAACAAAAAATATATTTTTATCACATAAGTATTTCAAATAAATGTATCGAAAAGAAATACAAATTTACATACATTTTCTGTTCTATTTTCAAAGTTGCATTTACAGAGTTGCATTTTGATATTTTCTTTAAATTCATATGCATAGGATCATATGAAGTTGTATTGGCCCCACTAAAGAAAATAGGAAAATGCAACTCTGTACCGAAGTCTTATTGTGTCAAATAGTGTTTTAAACATGCAACAATTTGTTTAGTTTATTTTACTTTTTTTTACAAAATTATGGTCTGTTCCAGAACTGCAAGAATGATACATTTTTTACTACAATAACCGATTTTCCATTTTTTTTTTTTGATATCGAAAAAAATGCAAAAATTGTAGATGCTTGCAGGTTCTGGAACATCCCTTTATTATATCGTGTTTTTTTTAGAAAATTTAATACAAGATATAGGGACTATTGTAAAAAATCCCAAAATTACACATTTTGTTGCCCATTAACGTCGAAAATATGCGTTTCTATTGCAAGTGAATTTTGAAATAATTTTAAATTATTTTCTATTTTAATCAAAACAATATTCTGTCCGTGACAGAAAAGGGATATCAAAAGAAAAAAAATTGTATTTAGGAGTTAGCCTGGTTCTACCTTCTGTAATTGTACCATGAATCGAATTATATTCAGTTTTTACACTGGTTCCTATAGTTCCCTTGTTCATGCTTTGAACTTTACTCCCCTTTGTGAGTAAAGAAAAGAAACCATTTTGCGTCTATTTGTTGCTAAAAACTAATGGAACGATTAATATTGAAGGGACGATAGAGCTAGTAGGGACAATTGAGCTTATAGGAACGACTGAACAAAAAGGAACTAGTTGAACAAAAATGAACTAGTTGAAAAAAACTAGTTCCTTTTGAGAATAGGACGATCGATCGGCTCATAATACATAATGACAATTATCGATAACAGCATTTTTTTAATTGCCTATAATTTCGATAATAGTAATAAAAAGACCTACCGATAGCAATAATGTGGTTAACTTTTATTTCACTTTTACCTGAAGAATTGGAAAATAAAATGAAATTAACTTTTTTAAAAACCCACGAAACTGAGATGTCCTAAAAAATTGAGACGTTTCTTATGCATCTCTTAAGGTGAGACTACATAAAACTCTTTTTTGACCGGCTTAAGCCAAAGGCGATTTTTGCGCATTATTCACCGGAAAAAATTGGTATTTGAAGTTCGTAATGGATACTACAGGCTATGACAGAAAATTGTCTGTGCAACAGAAAGAAAATAGACTCAAAAGAGCTAAAGAGTTGCTTCGCCTGGCCGAAAGTGGTGAACTGCCGAATTTGGTTCTCTTCGATGAGAAAACATTCGTTGTCCAGCAGTGTGTAAACAAACAAAATGATTGTATTTACTTGCCAAAGAGGTCAGCTAAAAATGTGCACCTTCGGTTGGCCACCAGAACTCAAGCGCCCGCCATGGTGATGGTGTTAACCGCCATAACAACCGATGGTCGCTCTCCGCTCGTATTAGTCGACCGTGGCATCAGAATAAATGCCGAATATTATCGCGAAAATATTCTGGAGGGTGTATTAAAGCCTTGGGCACGAAAACATTTTGGCCGCAGACCTTGAACATTCCAACAGCACTCAGCACCATCGCACTCAGCACGCGCCACCCAAGATTGGTGGTGAAAATGAGGTTCCTCGCTTATTTCCAGCGCACAATGGCCACCAAAATCTCTGTATACCAATCCGTTGGACTATTGTATCTGGAGTATTTTGGGAAGCAAGGTAGGCACAAAAAAATACCAAAGTGTCGATCACCTCAAGCAAGTGCTTCGCCGAGAATGGGCCAAAATACCGCAGAGTAACATTCGGGCATCGTGTGACGGTTTCATTGGCCGTTTGAAGGCCATAACTCGTGCCAAAGGTGACCAATTTGAACAAATCTAAACTTATTAAACCTATTTCCGACATTTTTAGTTTTCATTAAATAAAATTTAAAAAAAATGTAAAAATTATGGCGTTTGACTTTGTTGCAGTTTTTTTTATCTCACTCTGTATAACCTCCATAGAATGGTGTAGGGTAGAAAAATGCGGCAACTACCAGCTATTTTTACAAAAAGCTTGTCATATCTCTTTTTAAAAAACTTAATTTATTTTAACGCAGGGATGTATATCCTTTGCTTTTCCTTAAGTAAGGGATAACAAAAATGGACTATAAAGGAATGATATAAGAACGGGCCTATATGTTTTTTATAATCCGCATAAAATTAATGCTTAAGAAGATCTTACGAACTACAAATAAGTTTGGAATTTTTTAGTGTTGAATATTTTTCCATAACATACAAATCAGTTGCCTTCAAAGTGCAATGGACTGTTCTGAATCTGTTTTGATTGTTTTGTTATTTGTATTACAAAGAAAGCTTTACTCTCACAATTGAAACAAAAGATTTCACTTTCCTGTCATACTGTATGTATATATAAGTGCAAAGATGTTCGTGTGTGTGGGTATAAAAAAAATATACAAAATAATATTAATAAGCCATATTTCTTCTTGTGAACAAAATATGTCCACACAGCATTATAGGCAAAACCAATGACACTACAAATATTGCAACACAAATATCTGATAACACACACAATGTCGAACAGACAAAAAACGAGAGAGAAACTTCAAAGAAAATAGAAAAATGCAACTCTGTACTGGAGTCGTATTTTTTCAAATAGTCTTTTAAACACTTGTTCTTTTCCGAAGAAGCCAGCCAATGACTTAAGTCATTAAAAAAACGTTTTATGTATCCTCACCCTCAGTCATTTCTAACATTTATTTCCATTCATCGAGGAGTGCCAGTTATTCGATTGTCCTGTTACAAATATATGTTTACTTTGAATTCCGGGGTATAGTCAACAATCTTTTTATACCCTCCACCACAGTATGTCAATCCGTTTGTAACACCTCGAAATATAGATTTTAGACCCCACAAAGTCTATGTCGATTTAGCGATGTCCGTTCGCCTGTCCGTCTGTGGAAATCACTCAAGCTTCCGCACGAAATGAAGTGGGTTGATAAAATTTTACTCAAATGTGTATTGTGTCTGCAGGACTTTTGATATTAAAAATGGGCCATGTAGGTCCACGTCTTCGTATGGTCCCCATATACCGGTACCTCCCGATATGCCGTATTTTGATGATTGTAGCGACTTTATTTGCCGGAACTATTTCCAATTTTGTATTTGAAGTTCGTAATGAATACTACATTCTAAGACAGAAAATGAGCCATGTAGGTCCACGTCTTCGTATAGCCCCCATATAACCGTACCTCCCGATATGCGGTATTTTGATGATTTTAGCGACATTATTTACCGGAATTGTTTCAATTTTGATATTTGAAGTTCGTAATGGATACTACAGCCTATGACAAAAAATTATCTGTGCAGGTCCACGTTTTATAACCCCCATGGTGCCTCCCTATATTCGGTAATTTTATGATTTTAGCTACATTATAAACAGATTTTTTTTTTGCAAGTTTCGCATTTGAATATTGTAATAGCTTGTGACAAAAGTTGCCTATGCAGGTCCACGTCTTCGTATAGCCCCCATATAACGGTACCCCCCGATATTCGGTATTTTGATGATTTTAGCGACATTATTTACCGGAATTATTTCAAATGTTATATTTGAAGTTCGTAATGGATACTACAGCCTATGACAGAAAATTGTCTGTACAGGTCCACGTTTTATAACCCTCATGGTACCTCCTAATATTCGGTAATTTTATGATTTTAGCTACATTATAAACAGATTTTTTTTTTTTTTTGCAAGTTTCGCATTTCAATATTGTAATAGCTTGTGACAAAAGTTGCCTATGCAGGTCCACGTCGTCGAATAGACCCTAATATACGGCTACATTCGGTATTTTTAAGATTTTAACAGAATTTTTAACGGATTTTATTTTTTTGAAAAATTTGTACCAAATGGTGGAGGGTATTCAAAGTTCGGCCCGGCCGTTATTATTTCATTATGAGTGTTATTATTTCATTATGAGTGCAGTCTTGACATTTTTCTTTCTCCTCGCATTTCTAATTCCGCTTCATTCTGAATTGGAATTTTCAAACCTATCTCTCTAACAATTTATGTTTTGTCAATGTATTTTTTCAATACCAACTTTAAAAATCATGAATCACAGTCTCCCAAGCGTATAACGTAGACGTACGCGCTGCAATGGCAAAAAATGCCGTACAAAAACA